GTTTGGGGGTGTGAGGTCCAGCTGGGGCAGGTGTTTGAAGATGTGGGGAGCTGGGCGATGCTTGTGTTTCCACATCTGACCCCTGTTTTGTCTCTCCACAGGGTCCGCCTGGCGGCGGTGGTCCTCCGGGGACGCCCATCATGCCCAGTCCCGCAGGTATGAGCCCCCCCGAGACTCCCCCTCTCCGGGGCCAGCCCTCCTGGGCACCTGCCCCTTCCCCTGCCGGGAGACTCCCATCCCTGGGGCTGCGCCGCCGAGCACAGGCAACCCCTGCCCAACGGGCAATAACCAATTTATGTAGCTTTTGCCTTTCCGGGGAGCGAGTGGTATGGGCTGCTTGGCTTTGGGATGGCATTTGGGAATGTTCCTATATCCCCCTACAGATTTGGATGCTGCAGGGCTCAGGGAAGTGGGGAGATGAGGAGTGCCACACGGCTGGGAATTACCTCCCCATGCTTCCCAGCCAGGAGTTGAATTATTTTTCATAGTTGAATTTCTGTGATTAAAAACTTTGTGGATCTTCATTAAATACAAATTAGCCAGAAAATGGTGGTACTTAGAGGGAATTTTAGGTGATAAAATACAAAAGAATGAGTTCAAGTGGCATGAGTTTGTTTTAATTAAGAAATGAATTAATCACCCGACTTATTGGGCTTCACTGTTCCACAGATTCAACAAATTCAAGTGACAACATCTACACAATGATTAATCCAGTACCGCCCGCAGGCAGTCGATCGAATGTAAGTCTGCTTTCTAATAATTTACATATCAGATACCATAACAAATCATAATTAACTTCATCAGTTGAGAGTAAAGCAGTTTAATTGATTTCAGCCATTTGTTACAAAACAGAAATAAAACAAACCATCAAAAAGCGATTAACTCTTCAGTGACTTTGTTAATTTTTTATGCTTATTAAGAGAGCGGCGGTCCTGCTGCTCTGGCCAAGGTGGTGGCAGCTGCATGCCCAGCGAGGTGCTGTGTTTTGTGGGATACGGGCAGACTTAAATCTCATTAAATGCTGGTTGGAGGGAGCCCTCTGCGCTGCCATGGGTCTGGGTCTGCCCGCACCTGTCCGGCCAAATTTTATGGGTGAACCCACAGGACCACGAGCCCCCAGACATGCGCCGCAGCCTTGGGGCATGGATGCATCCCTCCTCTCGCCCTGCTCCAGAGGGATGGCTGGGGAGGGGATGGTCCCCAGGAGCCGCTGGGGCCATGGCAAACGTGCAGGGTGGTTTTGTGGCTGATTTTGGTTTTGTCGCCTTTTTCTTCTGCAGTTCCCAATGGGCCCTGGCTCTGACGGCCCCATGGGCGGCATGGGTGGCATGGAGCCCCATCACATGAACGGATCGTTAGGTGAGCGCCCATGTGGGGGGCTGCAGCTTGGGGAGCTCCCCGGGGATGCCAGCAGAGCATCCCAGTGCCTGCTCCCATTCCGGGACAGCCCCCAGTTCGGACTAGTGCTTGAAGCAGAGCCTTTGGCTGGCAATCAGAAGGGAGATCTGGAGGGGAGCAGGGCAGGGGGGCGTGGGGGCCATTGCTGCATGCTCAATAAGGCTGTTCTCCTTTTGTGTCCCCCCTGTGCAGGGTCAGGAGACATAGATGGACTTCCAAAAGTAAGTGAATTGCAGAGCAGGTGTGTGGGCCCCCTTTTCTCGGCACTGGGGTGCCGGTGTGACCCCAATGGATGGGGACACGTCGGGGGAACGTGACCAGGGCAGGTGGGGCTGTGTCCAGCCCCCACAGCGTTTTGGGGGGCGCAGGGACCTGCTCATCGCCTCCCCCCTCATCTCCCACAGAATTCTCCAAACAACATAAGTGGCATTAGCAATCCCCCGGGCACTCCAAGAGACGACGGGGAGCTGGGAGGCAACTTTCTCCATTCCTTCCAAAATGACAATGTGAGTGAGTGCCTCCCTGGGGACGGGGGGACGGTCCCTGGGGCATCCCAGCAGAGGGGTGGGTGGGCTTGGCGGTGGGTCCCTTTCGGACCTGAGTTGTGCTGTGTGTGAGCTGCTCCAGGACAGAAGAGGAAATACAGTGGTGGGTGCAAGCTTGGGTCCTCGGTGGGACGGGGGTGTACCAAGGGAGGGGAGAGCTGTGCTGGTCTCGCCGATTCAAGGCGCTGTGTGTGGCTGCAGACATCCCTTCCCTTCTTCCTCTATTAGCAGCTTATACACGCGTGCATGTTAATTATTTGTTTTAAATTGCATCTCACCCCATACTGTTCTGCTGATTTTCTCCCTGGAAAAGCACGTTACAGAGCAGATTATGCCCTGATAAATTTGAGTCTCCAGCATATCCTCTCCTTCTGATTTATTAGATCCAATTAGGTTGCTGTATAGTTGTCATCCGCCTCCTTTTGCATCCCCCTTCGGTGTCGGGGGTCTGGCCTGCCTGGTTTCTCACCCTGGCTCTGTCTCTCTTCCAGTATTCCCCCAGCATGACGATGAGTGTGTGATTTCCCTCCCCCTCCTCCTCTCCAGGATCAAGAGAGTCAGCTGCCGTTCGGAGGATCTCAACGAATTATGCAAGAAGAAGAAGAAGAAGAAGAAGCTAGGTGTATGGGCAGGGAGACGCGTGGCGGGGGCCAAAACCCCAGGTTTAGTTTCATGCAATAAAAAGGCTGAACTTTTTATTCCATAAAACATGAAGGACAAAACTTAAAATATTTCAAGACATGACAAGACCCTTCTTTGTGCGGAAGGGTTTATATATGTACATGACACTTCTTTTTGGAAACAAACGGAAGCCTCTAGCACCCAACTCCGATCTCTTTGCTTTGTTCTTTTAAATAAAGACAGAAACCGAACCTGTTGTATGTTTGTGCCGTGCGACACCAGGAAGCTAGTCTAGATATGAAATCTCATGTTGTCTCTGTTGTAGTCATTTTTTTAAATAAACTGGACAGTTTACAATGGTGGTTTTCGTTCAGAAGGCCTGGTTTTTTTTTGGTTTTGGGGGTTTTTTTCCCTTCTATTTTTGGGTTTTTTTGGTTCGTTTGCAGCACAACGCTTCCTCCTCCAGTTAACAAGATCTGCTTTGGGGAAGAGACTCCACCACCTCGTTATAAACTTGTTAACGCAGGTGACCCCTTCTAGGATCACATCCTCGAATGAATCGTGATCTTGCTCTCTGTGACTGTGGCATGCACTGTGTTAGTCTTTCCCCCCCCCGAAGTACAAGAAGAAATCTCTGTCCTTCCCTTCCCCAGAGTCCTTCAGCTGGTTCACTGCAAAAATTAATTTTTTTAATTTTTTTTTTTTAAAATCCACCGAAAGAAAGGGTTAATCTGACCTGGGACTTCGAAACTGTGATCTCCAGCTAACTTTGGGGTTTTGGGGGGGGGGTTTATTTGCTTTGGGGTTATTTGGGGGGGGTGTCTTTTCTTTAGAGATGTGCTCTTGTCAGGGTTTCACTTATCTATGATTTGGAACTGGATGGAGATATTTTTTAAGGAATTCTTGTTGTTAAAATGTAACCTTGCTATTCTGTAGGCTCGCTCTGTAATAAGAAAATAAAAATTAATGGCAAGCATCGAAGGCCCTTCCTTCTGGCGGGAGAGGAAGGGACGAGCCAAGGCGGCGGGTTGGGATCTCTGTACATGACACTACCCTGTAGTTTGGTCTTTGTTTTTCTCCAGCTCCCATTTCTGCTCCATGTATATCATATTCTGTAAAATATTCTCTCCCTTGGATTTGATATTGAAATCATTGTATCTTGTTTCAGTGTTTTTTCTTACCTTGTAGTCTGGTTCGAAAATTACCGAGAGGGGGAAAAAAAAAAGTAATTATTATACATTGTAGTTTGTGTACGATATTTGTTGATAATGTTTTATTAAAGGGATGTCTTTTTTCCGCACCCCTTCATTGAAATGTTTTTGGGGAACATTTGGCTTGTTTTTATTATTCTGACTGCAAGACATGAGATGACAAAACTTTTTTTTTTAGTGTGTAATACAATTTTTTTTTTTA